GGCACGTGAAATAGAGACTAGTACTATATTAAAAGCACGAAGGCCCTTAGCGAAATATCGTTCGCCTTTTTTACCCTTCAAAAATAAACTTTACATTGGACAATGATGTAATTTAAGTTAATTTTCTAATATTTAGGACTTTAAAATTAGCTAAAATTTTGATTATTAAATTTTCCTTATTTGAACTTTAAATAAACTCCTAATATTTAGGTTGCATAAATATGTTTCTTATTTTAACTGTCTAGATTAATATAACTTCTCTCCTACACGTACATTAGATATTTACCAATAAAAATAGATCTATCTTAAGTCTTTAATTATTGAAGTTGACTAAGAAAATTATAAACCAAACTTAAAGGCACATCAGTAAGAAAATATCTTTAAGTAAATTTACAAACGACATGTCAATATTTGAAAATAATAATAGTTTGTAGTGGTAAAGAATACTACAATGTATTTTAAGTTTTTTTTTAACGTATTGTGATATATACATGTATCAAATCAAAAGCTCAATTAGAATATTGGATAAGTGAAGGGTATATAAGATGCTCTAATTTTTATATTGAAATTAATAACAATAAATTGTATTGTAATTATTTTATCCATTTAAAATATTTTCTTATTCTTTAAGATATATGATACAATTTTATCCAGCACAAAATTTATTTTAAAGAGTAACGATTAAAATTTTGCAAAATTTATTTTTAATGAAACTTCAACACGAAATATTTTTGATCGAACTTTTTATCCTTTAAACATATATTTCTCCTTTGGAATAAAAATTATTTAATTATATTTTAATACTTTAGGGCTTTGAAATCAACTAAAACTTTGCTTATTAATCTTTCATTACTTTTTAAGAAACACTAATTTTTACTCTTTTTGGCCACTGAGCACGAAGTTTAAGAAAGAAGAAAAACTTTTAAAATTTATGATCTAAAATAAGACACAAATATTTATGCTACAAATTATCTTCTTAAGAGTAAATTAGAAAATTTAAAATTAAATAATCTATCTATATCTATATTATATTAAAAGCACGAAGGCTCTTAGCGAAATGTCATTCGCCTTTTTATCCTTACAAAACAGAGTTCACACTGGATAAAATAGTCATTCACTTATTTTCCTAATATAAGGACTTAAAAATTAACTAAATACTTTTTATTAATTCATTCCTTATTTAAACTAAGTACGAAGCCTCAATATATTAGGCATCATATTCTGATATCTTATAACTTAATTTGAGCAACATTCTACAAGTGTTATGCAGTTATTATATACTTTAAATAGGAAAAAAATAAAATTAGAGGTCTTTACACGACAAAGAGTTGTGTAATTTCGTGTCCTTTGTCTTTGTATTTTAATCAAGAACAATTTTGCCTCTTAATTTATTCGTCCTTCCCAA